ATTTCCAGATTTATATGAACTTATTTACATAAAAATGTGTAAATATATCAGTAGGTTGAGTTCTAACCCCTGTGGCCTGAAAAACCACTTGGTGCACATGCCTGGCATGTTTCAGGCTGACCAGGGTGGGGAGGTGCAGTCATATGGGATCCAGCTTCTCTTGAGCAGTGTGTTACCACTGTGCCACAGAGCTGGCCTGGCACTTACCTTTCCTGTATTATTTTTGCTACTCTGTTAGGACTATTGTAAGAAAATAGCCTAAGTGATTCATTTTCAAGACTAGCGTAACAAAAGTTGCTTAACTAGCTTGCAGATGTGACAACCCCAGAAAGTACACATTCCTGGAAAGTTCCTGAACAAACGACACCCTAAAATAGCAGGTCTCCCTTGAGAAATGACTTCTCAAGATGGTGGCTGATCACCAGTTGTTTGTGATTCTTTATTTCCTGGTGCTCCTCCCTTCTCAGGTCATTTGGCAGGCCTTTTTACCTGGGCTTGTCCTGGGCCTACTACACCTTTCCATCAGACTAGAGGGAAGGGGACAATAAATGGAATTTAGGCAATATCCGAGAAGATTGTATACCCCCTATACTCAGCCAATGAGAAACTTGGGGAGGGACTTACACACTAGAAAATAAATAGCTTGTTGTAACCATTCTGGGCTTCCATGCTTATCAGACATCCGATCTTTTCAAGATCATTATTAAAGTCTCACTTTGTTGTACCTCATGTCTCTTTGTCCATTCTTTGGCATTGGATGAGTGAATGCATTTCTCACAACTATGATAATAGAAATGCAGCATCAAAAAATAATGGGGATGATTTTGACAGCCCCATTATGACAGCACCTCCATAATGAATAAGACAGGTCATATGTATGAAACACATAATTCCAATAATTTGTGTTTCTGTTCCCCTGAAAACATGAATAGGAAGGTGTTACAGCTTGATGTCTTCCTAGGAAGTGATGGACAGCCTTCAATGAGAAAGGAAGTGTTTGACTCAAAAGATTGTTTGTGAGGACCAGCAGCTGGTATAATGGTTACCTTGCTGGACTCCCACATAGTCCACCATGGTTCGAGTCCTGGTTCTGATGGCTTAAAACTCATGTTGGGCGCATGTGTGTGCATGCCCAAAGTCTCAAAAGGAGAATGGAGGAGAAGGGATTGTGGTATGGCCATACCCCCAGGGAGGAGGAAGGTGATTTCTCACTTTCTGGCGAGCACACACACCCTATAGCAAAAATATCAAAAAAAACAAAAAAAAGTTTGTGTAGGCTTATCTATTGATTATTATTGTCTTTTGAGCAGCTTAAGTATTTCTTAAAAGGGTTTCAAGTCTTGTATATGTGATTTTGAGATTTCATTCTATTTATAGCTTGAATTCAGAAATTAAATCTTTTTTGGGACCAGCAGTTGGCATAATAGCTATGTTGCTGGACTCCCATGTAGTTGATTGCGATTCGAGTCCTGGACCCAGTGACTTAAACTCATGGCTGGCACGTGTGCGTGCGTGCCCAAGATCCCAAGAGGAAAATGGAGGAGAAGAGATTGTGGTGCGGCCATCCCCCCGGTGGGTGATTTTTCACTTCCTGTCTCTCTGTCTCTCTGGCAAGTGCATGTGCCCTATAGCAAAAACCTTTCCAAAAAAAAGAAGTTAAATCATTTTGAACAATACATTTATGAAGATTTCTGGTTGCTAGCTTTTCCTCTTAATTATCATCTTTCTGTTCTTCTTGTCCCCACCCCCACCCCCCAGTCTTTGTCAGTGTTTCTTTAAAGCTCACAGTTATTCTTAAAATTTCTCCCTTCAAACTATCAACAAGACCATCCTACTGTCTTGACCAACCTACCTGTATACTTTCTGTTTACTTTCTTGTCAAAGAAAGGAAACCTTTTTAAATCATTCACCCTTATTTTTCATTTTATTCTGTACATGCTTTGCAGGTTAAAGCTTAACTGCACCCATGACTATATATGGATCGTTGGAAAACAGCAAATCCCACCTTATTTCAGAGATAGGTTGATAAAAGTGAGCAGTGAGGGAATCAGAAAACAGCTTCAGCACTTAACTTGCAAATGTGTGTTTCGGTATCCAACAATAAATGAGCAGCAGCAGTTGTAAGGCCTCCTTTACTTGTCCTTACTAACCGCTGGGTTAAAATATCTTTAGAACAAATCCAGAAATAATGCTGCCACCACTCAGGTGAGTACACGTCTTAAAAACAGGTTTTACTTCCTGCTTTCAGGTCCTTGGGACTTGTAGCCTTAGAGTAGGGAGTCGATAAAATTTTATTTGTAAAACACCAGATAGTAAATATTTTAGGCTTTGAAGACCACATACATCTTTTGTCACATTATTTTCTTATAACCTTATAAAAATGTAAAAATTGTTCTTAACTCAAGGACCTTGTAAAATGGGACCACAGTGCAGTGAATTTTAGAAAAGCAAGCCCAGCTTTGAGTGCCAAACTACACTACCATAAAACAGTATTGTTTTGCCCATAAAACAATATAGTCTTGAGACTCTTTGAAGCCAGTATCTTGTCTAATGAAATTTAAAGTATGCTGGACATTTTTTCTGCCTAAAAATTACTCTGTTGCTTCAACATCTTCAATCTGTTCCAAACATTAGAAGGGGGGTTATGTGGCAACTATGTACTTTTTTTGTTGTTGTTCGTTTGATGTTAGTTTTTGCTATTGGACACATGTGCCCCCCCAGAGAAAGAGAGAGAGACAAAGAGAAAGAGAAAGTGAGAAATTAACCCCCAAGAAGGAAGTCTACACTGCAGTCCTTTTTCCTGTTTTGCCTCCTGGCATTTTGGGCACACATGCACACATGTTACCAGATCTGGAACATGAACCATGGCTGGCCATTTGGGAATCTAGTGCCTTACCCACTATGCCACCTGCAGGCCCCTCTTTCTTTTAAAAGTCTGTCTTGGGACCAGCAGATGGTGTAATGGTTACGTTGCTGGACTCCCACGTGGCTGACTGCAGTTCAAGTCCCAGACCTGGTGGCTTACAACTCACAGCAGGCACATGTGCATGCAAGCCAAAAATACAAGAGGAGAATGGAGGAGAAGGGATTGCGGCATGACCATCCCCCCGGAGGGCAATTTCTTGTTGTCTTTCTGTCTCTCTGTCTGTCCGGTGAGTGCATGCGCCCTTTAACAAAAGTCTCTCCTAAATAAAAACAATACTTAAAAAAGAATTAAAAAAAAAGTCTTTCTGTGTCATGTTCCTACTGCCTCAGCCATCTCAGTTTTTTCATTTTGTTTTGTTTTATTTTATTTTTTTTCTTAATTGCCAGAAGGTGCATGGACTTGCCAGAGATACAGAAGGAGAGCAAGAAAACACCTTCCAGTGAGGCATAATCATGCCATAATGTCTTCTTCATTTCTCCATCCAGTCAGGATTTGGAGCACACATAACACACACCCAATATGTTTTTTAAACTGTTGGAGCTAGGATTTGAACTATGGTTGGCCATATGGAATCCGGCTCCTTAATGACTAGGTGGCAGGGCTGGTCCATCAGATTTTCTAGGACAAAAATTTTCTAGTACATTACATTTATTTTTTTTTTTTAAGAATTATTTTATTTAAACTTACTTTTATTTATTTATTTTAATTTGACCAGAGAAGAACAGAATAAGAGAGACAGAAAGCAAGAAAGCAAGCCACCAGGTCTGGTACTCAAACTGCGGTCAGCCATGTGGGAGTCCAGCGCCGTCAACCACCACACCACCTGCTGGCCCGACATTACATTTGAACATTGAATATAGTGTGTGAAAATTCCAGGTCTAGATTGAGTCTGAATAGCTTTTTTTCTTGTAAATGTGTATGTTCTAGCCTTTCTTCTAATTTACTTTTCCAGCTTCCTGTTACACTACCACACTGAAGTCGCACACACTTTACTGCTTACTAGATGTTACCTTGAATCTTTTCTTTTTTTAAGTTTATTTATTTATTTTCACAAGAGAGACAGAAAGAAAAAGATAAGAACCCTCAACAGGGTCTTATGCCAAGATCCTCCCCCTAGCCCTCCCAGCCAGCCAGGACGCAGGCACTGTGCACATATCTGGCATGTAAGAGTCAGTCTGAGAACTGAACCCTGATCTTACAGCTTCCAGCACTGCAGAGCTTTGTGCTCCTGCCGCACCACCGCATCTGGGCCCTTGTTTCTGTACCTCTCAGTTTGTCTGTCTCACAAGTGAAAGATACATACCTTGTCACAGTTGTTTGTAACACACTGCAGTGCTGGACCCACGTGGGAAAGTCCGGGGTTTACACCTGGTTCTCCCTCTGTATGGTGGAAGGTGCACCTGCCCATGTCCATGATCCTTGCTAGCTGGGAGTGTGGTTGGAGTGTGAAGACCCTGTTGCCCTACCACCTCCTCTGACGCCTCCTCATCCCTGTCTCCTTTCATGGCAGAAATTTGAAGGAAATAAAAAGCACATTAAAAAAATTGGTTAGGGACCAGTAGATGGCATTATGGTTACTTCGCTGGATTTCCATGTAGTCCACCGAGTTTCAAGGCCTGGACCTGGTGGCTTTAAAAAAGTCACGCTGGAGTGTGTATACTCAAAATCCCAAGAGGAGAACAGAACATGGGATTGCAGCATGACCATCATCCGTGGGGGATGATTTCTTGCTTTCTGTCTCTCTGGGAAAGCCTGCGTCCTGTGCAAAAATCTCTCTTGAAACAAACAAATATATGTGTATGTTAAACATTGAGCACAGTGTCTGGCATAAAAGGTAGCAGAGATTATTACCCAAGAATTGAATGATATTATCAGGAAAAATAAATCTTTACCTTCCCCTTAATGTTATCCTTTTACAAGTGTTAGAACCCATGGAAACTAATGTGTTTTGAAGAAGCATTTTCACATGTGGAAAGATGAGCTTTCTAAATCTGCTTTGGAAAATGGATACCCGACATGTGGACTGCAGTTCTATGATAAGTTCCTTATCTGTGATTTATTTGCTTCCTTTTTCTCAGGTGAAAGGAAAGATGTTATCCCGGTTGAGAGGAGTTGTCACCCGTTGTACATATGCGGCATGTCGTCATTTGCATATAAAAGAGAAGGGCAAGCCCCTCATGTTGAATCCAAGAACCAACAAGGTTGGTGACTTTAATACCAGTGTTCACTTTCTTTTCCTAGTAAACGCTTGATGTGTTTAGACTGAAAAGGTATGACGGTTTTGTATTTTATAGCTTTCTACTAAGACTCTTCAGAGCTACTTGTTTTTTTCTGCACCAACTTTTCCATTCTTCTCCACATAGAGGTACCCCAAATAACTTTTACCACCAGAAAAGGATTGACTTGACTTCCTAGTTCTAGCTGGAAAAAAACAGAATCCCAGGAAAGCACTATGGCCAGGATGCTTTTGTTCCTGTGTGGCAGGGGTCCTCAGCCCCCAGGCTGTGGACTGGTTCCTGGCCTGTTAGGATCCAGGTCGCACAGCAGAAAGTGAGCAGGGGATGAGGGGCTGGCAAGTGAGTGAACCTTCATCTTTATTTATAGCTGCACCCCATTGCTCACATTATTGCCTGAGCTCTGCCGCCTATCAGATCAGCTGTGGCATTAGATTCTTATAGGAGAGTGAACCCTATAGTAAACTGCACAGGGAGGGATCTAGGGTGTAGGATCTAATAAACTGTCCCCAATACCACCCCTACCACTACTGTGGAAAAATTGTTTTCCGTGAAACCAGTCACTAGTGCTAAAGAGAATGGGGACCACTGCTGTATGGAATGTTTAGGTTTATCCAGCTTGATTCAGGTACTGGCTCCACGCCAATCAATTAGACCTTGAAGGATGTGGTCAAAATTGTCCAATGACGGGACCAGCAGTTAGCATAATGGCTATGTCGCTGAACTCCCATGTAGCTGACCATGGTTCGAGTCCCAGACCTGGTGGTTTAAACTCACGCCGGGTGTGTGGTGTGTACGTGCCCAAGATCCCGAGAGGAGAATGGAGGAGAAGGGATTGCGGCGTGACCATCCTCCCTGGGGGATGATTTCTCGCTTTCTATCTCTCTGTCTTTCTGGCGAGTGCACGCGCCCTATAGCAAAACCTCTCCAAAAAAAAAAAAAAGTCAAATGAACCTTACCTGAAGTTACCCGGCTCTGCCTGAGCCCAGTATTTTAGATACAACTCATCACACACAAATAATTTTTGCCCTTTAACTAGACTACTGCCTCAAAGGACAGAGACTTCTCTTTATCATCACTCTTGGGACAGAATTATTGGCAATACTGAGATACAGTCATGGCTTCCTCCCTTGAGGAAGGGTTCCGAGAGCAAGTTCCCTTTTGCTTTTTAGTGGCAATATTAATTAGTAAGTAAACATAATTCTGAAAGGAGATTTCTTACAAGAAGTTTGCAGAAGGATGCACTAGTTTTATTGCAATATATGAATTTTACTTTTTGGGGGACAAGTGACTTGAGATCAAAAGTGTGATTTATTTTCAAGTCATAGTCATCAAAAAATTCGCCAGTCTCATTTATTTCCTGTTACAGGGGAAAATAATTAATTGCACAGTGTAAATTTTGAGCAGTTGCAAGCCTGTAAAAAGAAATTTGACTGAAAGTCACACACATCTTCTTTGCAGTTTGGGTACCTGGTATAGAACGAGAATTCAGAAAACCGTTCCTGAATAAAATGAAGCATAGTGAAGGGTATTTTAATTCTCTCTTGTTTTTGTCTCACCTCTCCAAATCTTCCTTGCTCTTCAAGATGCAGTTCACTCGAAATCCACTCCTCCGATAGAACCTTTCACACAACCAGAGACTGGAGTAATTGCTCTCTTCTCTGAAACCCCATAGCTGTTTTTATTTTCCTGTTCCTATGGCAGATAATCAATATGTGTTGCTTTGTGTTTGTTTTTATGTCTTAAACTGTTACTGAAATCATTGATGGTATTTATGTTTTCACAAGTTTATATCTTAACTGTATTTCAAATTGGCCCGGGACCATTCAAATACTTTTTTGTATCTTTTTACAGTGCTGTGAATATAGTAGATACTTGATAAATATGTTGATTTTATTTTTTTATTTTATGGAAATGTTTTATTTAAAATCTAATCTGGGGTCTTGGGGGTTATAAAAAATATATAAAGCACACTGAGTGGCAGATGAATTTCAAGAAGGAAGGTAGTCTTAGATGCCGTATCGTACTTCTGTAAAGAAATTAGAATCTATTGCTCCAGCATTCTGAAATCTCTAAGGCTAAAATCACGTTTGGTTACATCACTGACAGATCACTTCTGCAAATTCCTGAAGTGCAAGGAAGAATTTGTCTTTGATTCAGAAAGAATATAGACCAGTGATTCCCAGGTCACTGGTCACGGACTCCTTGGGACATTTACTATGTTAAATCAAGTTTTTGCTTCATACATTACAGACTGAATTAATAATTTTTCACATACTTATAAATATTGCATTTAATAGCATGTTGTTGCTATGACTAATAAAATAGTAATTAAAGGAATACTGAATTCTGAATCTTGTTAAACGTATCCACTTAATACCTGTTACTCTATTTATAATACTTTTTTAATTGTGGTAAACATAGTATAAAATTTATAATTTTTTAAAGTTTCAATGAATGAAAGAAACAGAGAAGCCCCTCCAACAGGGTGCTCATGCTGTGATCCACCTCCAGCCTCAGCTAGTTCTAGGTCATGGGCACACGTGTGCCCAGCACATACAGGGAGCTCTCTGGATGCAAACCCAGAACCTTCCCATGTGGATCAGGCTCATAGAGTGTTACATTACTACCTTGGCCCCACAGTTTATCATTTTAACCATTCAAAAACTCATAGCTCAGTGACACCATAGTCAGTGTGTAAGCATCACCTCTGTTTCAACTCAAGAACTTTTTCTCTTATCTCAAGTGGGAACCTAGTACTCACTAAGCAGACACTTCCTGATTCCTCTCTCTCATCCCTGATGGCTCCTTCAGCCTCTTTCAACCACTAACCTGCTTTCTGTCTGTAGATTCACCTATTCTGGTATCAATATGAAATTCCTTCTGAAAAAGTTTTTGTAATTGCATATATTTCAAAGGATTTTTTAAAAAGACTTTTTCATTTTAATTAAATATTCAGAATAACTTTGATTAAATAAGTTGACAGTAAACACTTAAATATTTAGGTGTATTTAAGAGTGTTGCTTAGAGGTAAAGGACTATCAACTGTCCAGTAAGTATAAAAGATGAATGAACAGGACCTTAAACAGAGTACACTCATGGGTTTCCTCCCCACACAGAAAAAGGCACTGGACATTAATCACTTTACTCACTGTAACCAGCAGGTGATTACATTTCCTGACAAACTGGCCCTCCACCCCGAAGGGGTTAGTGCTCGCTTGCTCTTCTCTCTTTCTCTCTCTTTCTCTTTCTCTCTCTCTCTCTCTCTCTCTGTTGAGCACACACACCCTGTAGCAAATTAAAATAAATAAGTAAATAGAATGAGTCTCTTACAGACAGCATGTAATTAGTTCATATTATTTCTTTTGTTTTACAAGTTCTGCCTTTTGATCCATTTATGTTAATATAATCACAGTTAAGATAGGATTTAAATCTGCTATTTCACTATTTGGTTTTTGGTTGTTTTTTTTTTTTTAAATTTCTTTTTTTTTTTTTTTTTGGGGGGAGGTATTTGCTATAGGGCACCCTCGCCAGACAGACAGAGACATAGAGACAGAAAGCGAGAAATCACCCCCCAGGGGGGATGGTCACACGGCAGTCCCTTCTCCTCTCGGGATCTTGGGCACACACGCACACGCACCCGGCGTGAGTTTTAAGCCACTGGGTCCGGGACATGATCCATGGTCGACTATGTGGGAGTCCAGCGACATAGCCATTACACTATCTGCTGGTTCCCACTATTTTTTTTTTTTTTTGAGAGATTTTCACTGTAGGGCGCGTGCACTCGCCAGACAGACAGAGAGAGACATAGAGACAGAAAGCGAGAAATCACCCCCCAGGGGGGATGGTCACGCCGCAATCCCTTCTCCTCCATTCTCCTCTCGGGATCTTGGGCACGCACGCACACGCGCCTGGCGTGAATTTTAAGCCACCGGGTCCGGGACACGAACCACGGTCGACTACGTGGGAGTCCAGTGACACAGCCATTACGCTAACTGCTGGTTCCCCCACTATTTGTTTTTTAAATATCTTATTTTTTTCTTTTTGTTCCACCATTGTTCCATTACCACCTTCCTGTATGTTAGATATTACCTAGTAAACCATTTTAATTCCCTTGTCATTGCTTGCTTGCTTGCTTTCTCTGTAAATTCCAGTAGACTTTTACCTTTAGCATAATTTCGTGTTGTACAGTTAAGTTACAATTACATCTTTAATTTTGGATAACATTCATCGGTTAACAATAAAGTGATCAAAGCTAAAAAAAAAAAACCCTGCAGATCAATATCTCTGATGAATACACATGCAAAAATCCTCCAAAAAAATACTAGCAAACCTAATCCAACAACATATTAAAAAGATTATGTGCCATGAGGCAAGTAGGATTTATCTCAAGGATGCAAGGTTGGTTCAACATATTGCAAAACAATAAATGTAAAATATCACATTAATAGAAGGAAAGACAAAAATCTTATTATCATACCAATTCATAAAGAAAAAGCATTAGATAAAATACAATATCTTTTTACGATTAAAATTCTCAACAAAATAGGTATAGAAGAGACTTTTTTTTACACAATGAAGGCCATGTATGACAAACCCACAGCTAACATAGTACTCGTAGGGAAATGTTGAAAGCTTTTATTCTGAACAGGACAAGGATGTCCACTTTGTCCAGTCCTATTCAACGTAGTCCTAGAAGTTCTAACCCACATTATCAGATAAAAGAATGAAATAAAAGGCATCCAGATTAGAAAGGAAGAAGTTAAATTGACATGATTCTATATACACACACAAAATTTAAAACCCTAAAGAATCTACCAAAAACTCTTAGAGCTGATAAACAAAGCTGCAGGGCATAAAATCAGCATTAAAATTATGTAGCATTTTGTAGTCTTAACAATGAGTGAACTGAAGTGGAAATGAAAAGCTCAGTTCCATTCTACACACACACACACACACACACACAC